GGAGTGGAGGTCATTGAGCAGAGTGTGCCGAGGATAAGGCAACCAAGAAAGATGTTGGTGACGAATCGCGGAGACTGATCGCTTCTCATAGATTTCGCTGGGGTAGGGGGGATGGAAGGAATGAAGCCGGGGAATTCTTTCGGCGTCGTCCAATTAGGCTTAGTGGACGTTGATTATAGTCTGTCGGGACGCGGTGTGCCGCCCCATGTAATGACCGAAAAACCCGGCCGATTTTATGCGGTGCTAGGGAAAACCGCTGCCTCTTTCCGGTCGATTTGGACCATAATCGTAGGAAGTGCATACTGTGGGGGGTGTCGTGTGCATGTGGTATTTGTTCTTGTGTCTCGACACCCTCGATCACTCCCCGCCAGCGGTATCGCGTCCAGCGTTTGGAACTTTCATGAGCCGTCGTATTGCTTGCTTCACTGCCTTGATCTTCGCCAGTTGTGCTTGGGCGAGTGCGGACGAGGCATTGTTTCGCGACCGCGTGGCGCCGCTGTTTCGGGCACACTGCTTGAACTGTCACAACGACGAGACGCGCAAGGGCGGGCTTTCGCTGCAAACGGCCGAGTCGGCCCTGGCCGGCGGCGAGATCGGAGAGGTGATCTTCCCCGGCGACCCAGATTCCAGTTACCTGCTGGAGTTGATCACCCCCGAAGACGGGAAGGCCGAAATGCCCGAGGGCACCGAACCGCTTTCGGAAGACGACCGGGACGCGATTCGCGAGTGGATTGCCGAGGGAGCCAAATGGCCGCAGGCGATGGTACTTGAACCCGAGGTGTGGTGGTCGTTTCGTCCGTTAGAGCGGCCTCCGCTTCCGGAGCTACCTGCAGAACAGGCTGCCTGGTGTAAGACACCGGTCGATCGTTTCATCGCGAAGAAGCACTTGGAAGTGGGATTAGAACCGGCCAAAGAGGCGGACCGCCGCACGTTGATTCGTCGCTTGTATTTCGATTTGATCGGACTTCCGCCCAGCGTTGAAGAGGTCCGGCGGTTTGTCGAGTCGCAGGAGAGCGATGCGTACGCCCAACTCGTCGAACGTCTGCTGGCATCCGAGCAGTATGGTGAACGCTGGGCCCGGCACTGGCTCGATGTGGTGCACTATGGCGAGACACACGGTTACGACAAGGATAAACCGCGACCAAACGCTTGGCCGTATCGCGATTATGTGATTCGTGCCTTGAACGAGGACAAGCCATTTGGCCAGTTCATAGAAGAACAGATTGCTGGCGATGTGCTGTACCCGAACTCGGTCGATGGGATCGAAGCGTTAGGCTTTATCGCCGCGGGACCTTGGGACTTCATCGGGCACGCCGAAGTGCCGGAGACGAAGATCGATGGCAAGATCGCTCGACATCTTGATCGTGACGACATGGTGCAGAACACCACGGTCACGTTTCTCAGTCTGACGGTTGGCTGCGCCCAATGCCACGATCACAAGTTCGACCCGATCACTCAGGAAGATTATTACAGCCTTCAGGCAGTATTTGCAGCACTCGATCGTGCAGACCGCGAATATTACAGCGACCCAGCACAAACTCACCGACGTGACGCTCTTCTGGCGCAGAAGCGGAGCTTGACGAAAGAGCGGGACGCGGTTGAAGCAAAGATCAAGGAACTCGGCGGTGATGCTTTGGCTGAGGCCGAGCAGGCAATCAAAGCTGCCAGCGATGCCGGATCGCGTCCTCCGGAGTATGGCTATCACAGTGCGATCGAAACCAAGCCTGATACCGAGAAGTGGGTGCAGATCGACTTAGGGGCCGAAGTGCCCCTCGCACGAATCGAATACATCGCTTGCCACGACGACTACAACGGGATCGGGGCCGGCTTCGGGTTTCCCGTGCGGTACCGTATCGAAGCGGCGAACGACGCAGCGTTTTCGGAGAACGTACAACTCCTGGTCGACCACACGGCCGAAGACGTTGCCAACCCGGGTACGAATCCTCAGAAGATTGAAGTCCAAGGGCAAACCGGTCGTTACGTTCGTTTCACCGCCACCCGCCTTGCTTTGCGACAGGATGATTACATTCTTGCCCTGGCCGAGCTGAAGGTGTTTGACGCCGCAGGGAATAACCTTGCCGCCGGTCAACCGGTCGATGCGCTCGACTCGATCGAGTCAGGCGTTCGTTGGGGGAAGCAGAATCTGGTCGACGGACTCTATCCAGGAACAAAGGCCGACCCCACGGAACTGGCCGCATTGGTTGCTAAGCGAGATGTTGTCCTTAAGGACAAGGTGGCGGAGGAGACGCTAGAGCAGCGAGAGAGCGTGAAGCGAGACCTCGCTGCGGTTACGCACGAGTTGGAAGGCTTGCCGGAACCGAAGAAGGTGTACGCCGGAACCATTCACTACGGTAGTGGGGCTTTTCGCGGTACGGGTCCCGATGGCGGCCGTGCTCGGACCATTTGCGTCCTTTCTCGCGGTGATGTGAAGAACCCCGGCGAAGAAGTCACTCCGGGTGCTCTTTCCAGTATCGATGCGTTGCCCGCTAGGTTTGACGCTGCAGTGGATACTGCGGAAGGGGAGCGACGCGCGGCGTTGGCTCAATGGATCTCGTCGCCTGACAATCCGCTCACGTGGCGTTCGATTGTCAATCGGGTTTGGCAGTATCACTTCGGGCGGGGTTTGGTCGGCACCCCGGGCGACTTTGGACGCATGGGCGAGAAGCCGACACATCCTGAATTGCTTGATTGGCTGGCCGTACAGCTTCGCGACGAGGGGGGATCGCTGAAGGACCTGCATCGGGTGATCGTGAACAGTGCCGTGTACCGTCAGTCTTCGAAAGTGAGTGACTGCCCGCAATGCACGCCGGCGGTGGCCGCTGACGATCCCCGGACGATCGACTCGGGCAATCGCCTGTTATGGCGGATGAATCGCCGGCAGCTCGAGGCCGAAGCCGTGAGAGACGCCATGCTGATGGTCTCTGGCAAGTTGAACCTCGAGATGGGTGGGCCCAGTTTCCAGGACTTTGTCATTGAGAAGCCGGAGCATTCACCACACTATCAGTACCACCTCCACGATCCGGAAGATCCTGCGTGCCATCGCCGCAGTATCTATCGCTTCATTGTCCGTTCGCAAACCCAACCGTTTATGACCGTGATGGATTGCGCCGATCCCTCGATTCTCGTGAACAGGCGAAATCAGACCATCACGCCCTTACAGGCCCTTTCGATGCTGAACAACAAACTTTCGCTGGTTATGGCAAAGCATTTTGCCGCTCGGGTGAGTGAAGGGAACGACAACGTACGCGAGCAGGTAAGCGAGGCCTATCGGGTTGCCTTGTCTCGCGAACCCACTGGCGACGAACTCGACGCCCTGAGTGAGTATGCCACTGCTCACGGTATGGAGAACGCCTGTCGGGTGATCTTGAATTTGAACGAGTTTGTATTCGTCGATTGAACGTAACCGGGTAACAACAACGATTTGCACCACAACTGCGTGGACTCCGATATGCACCCGCGATCTGCCTTCCCACATCACTTACCAGCTTCGCCGGTCTCGCGGCGGGAATTTCTCTTTCGTAGCGGGGGTGGACTAGGCGGGATCGCACTGGCCAGCATGTTGGCCGACGAACGACTGATGGCCTCTCCGGGAGCGGTGGGTGTCTTGCATCATCCACCCAAGGCGAAACGGGTGGTTCAGCTCTTCATGGCAGGGGCGGCCAGTCACATCGACCTGTTCGATTACAAGCCGGCGCTCATCAAGCACCATGGCGAGCCCTCGGAATTCGGCGAGCATGTCGAGGCTTTTCAGGACGGTCTCGGTCCCTGGCTGCGGCCCATCTGGGATTTCAAGCCCTATGGACAGTCGGGCAAGATGCTCAGCGACGTGGTCGCGCCGTTGGGCGATGTGGTCGACGACATGGCGTTTGTTCACAATCTCAAGGGTAAGACGGGAGTTCACAGTCAGGCCACGCTACTACAGGCCACGGGGTTCAACCGACCAGGGTTCCCCTCGATGGGCTCTTGGATTGTCTACGGCCTGGGGAACATCAACGAGAACCTGCCGTCGTATGTGGTGCTGCCCGATCACCGGGGCCTGGCTTCGAACGGAACGAAGAACTGGGACAGCGCGTTTCTACCCTCGCAACATCAGGGCACGGTGATCTATCCCGAGCGTGAGAACCCCATTGCCGATTTGTTCCCCGACGAGCATGGCGACTACATCACGGCTGAGAGCAGCGCGGCTACCGTTCCCCTAATCAAGCAATTGAACCAGGCTTACGCGTCCGATCGTGCTGGTGATGGTCGTCTCGACGCCCGCATTCGTAGCTACGAGCTGGCTGCCCGAATGCAATTGGCCGCCCCCGAGGCGATCGATATCTCTCAAGAGCCTGAGCATGTGCTCAAGCTCTATGGCTTGGACCACATCCCCGCTTCGTTCCCCAAAGAGATTAATGCTCGCGAAGAGACGGTCTATTTTTCCAAGAAGTGCCTCGTCGCAAGAAGGTTGCTGGAACGGGGGGTGCGGTTCGTGCAGGTGTGGAGCGGCAACGACAACGGTTTTCCACGCCGCAACTGGGACTCGCACGAAGACGTGAAGCGTGATCATGGCCCTCTGGCCTCGGGGATGGCTCGCGGCAGTGCGGCGCTGATTCAAGACTTGAAGCAACGAGGGATGTTGGAAGATACGATCGTCCTTTGGACAACCGAGTTTGGTCGCATGCCGTCTTCGCAGGGCGGGAAGGGCCGCGACCACAATCCGTATGTGTTTACCAACTGGCTTTGCGGCGGTGGTATCAAGCCGGGTGTGAGCTACGGGCCTTCCGACGAATGGGGCTACAAGCCGCTGGATCGCAACAACCCGACCGAGGTCTACGACATTCACGCCACCGTGCTGCACCTGTTAGGTATCGACCACGAGCGGCTCACGGTTCGCGACAACGGCATCGACCGCCGACTGACCGATGTGCACGGAAAGCTCATTCCCGAGATCATGGCATGAACTTCTGAGGCATTTGCTTCGATCCGCCAACTTCCAAACCATAACGAATGAAGGTTTCATGCAAGATTACAACACGCTTCGGATCGGGCGACGAGCATTTCTTAAGAACGGCACTTTGGTTCTGACCGCGGCCAGTTCGAATCTTGCTTCACCGTTCGCCGCGGAAGCCGTGGAAGACGATACGCTGACCATTGGCCTGGTCACCGATTTGCACTACGCCGACAAAGCTCCGGCGGGCACCAGGCATTATCGCGAGACCCCGGACAAGCTGGCTGAGGCCGCCTCACAGTTCAGTCAACAAGAGTTGGATTGCGTTGTCGAGTTGGGAGATCTAATCGATGCGGCCGACTCGGTGCAAGCTGAACTAGGATATCTCAAGCGCATCAATCGCGACTTCTCGGCGATCTCCAAAAACCGCCACTATGTGTTGGGCAACCACTGCGTTTACACGCTCACCAAAGAAGAGTTTCTCGACGGGGTTGAGCAGGATGAATCTTACTACTCTTTCGATCTCGGCGATTTTCACTTCGTAGTGCTCGACTCCTGTTTCCGCAGCGACGGTAAGCCGTATGGTCGGAAGAATTTTGAATGGACCGATCCCAATATTCCCGCCGCCGAACTCGAATGGCTACAGGAAGACTTAAAAAGCAACTCAAAACAGACGGTCGTCTTCGCCCATCAGCGTATGGACGTTGAAAACAATCATGGGGTGAAGAACGCTACGGCGGTTCGCAACGTACTAGAGAAGGCGGGCGATGTCCTGGCGGTGTTCCAAGGGCACAGCCACGCCAACGAACATCGAGAGATCAACGGCATTCACTATTGCACCATGGTCGCGATGATCGAAGGTTCAGGAGCCGAGAGCAACGGCTACTCAGTCATGCGCTTGCTGAACGATGGGACCATCAGCATTGAAGGTTTTCGCAAGCAGAACGACTACTCGTGGAAATCGTGATGCCGACTGTCTGCGGCAAGCATCGAAAAGCATGGCTCAGCTCGGCGATGCGGTAATCTGTAGCCTTACTAATTCCTTTTCGATCCGATCGGCACATTTGTTTTACCTCCCAACGGTGGGGGCGATGTGCGGATTTGGAAAAGTGAAATCGCCTTATGTCTTAGTTCTGTAAACGGCCCTACAAGCCCTGGAGAGCCAATCTATAGTACTTAGCTGGGTAAGAATCCTGGGAGTGGAGAACGTCAAACTCTCGAGGGAGATCGGCGACCGCCGATATTCCCTGTGTGGAGTACACCTTGGAGAACAGCGAGCGACTGGTGGACACGGCAGAAGCATTAACGGACACGAGAGAAGAAGAGCATCCGCCGCTGACGATTGCGTCGATCGAAGACGAGATCGCCAATGGGGTAACTCATGGAATCGGCCTTCTGCTGGCCATCGGCGGGCTGTGCTCGCTGGCCGTGCTTACGGCTTACCGGGGCAATGTTTGGCACGTTGTAGGCTGCACCATCTACGGGGCTTCACTCGTCATCTTGTACGCGGCATCGACCCTTTACCATTCAGTTCAACGTCCTGAGTTAAAGGCGATTCTTCGCACGGTAGATCATGCGGCCATTTTTCTCCTCATCGCTGGCACTTACACGCCTTTCACATTAGTGAATCTACGTGGACCTTTGGGGTGGTCGCTGTTTGCCGCCGTGTGGACTTTGGCCATCATCGGAATCGTGATGAAGATCGTCTGGGGGCACCGTTGGCAGTGGTTTTCCCTGGCAATGTATCTGGCGATGGGGTGGATTTGTCTGTTCGCCGCCAAACCACTGATGGCTTCTATTCCCACGGGGGCTCTGTGGCTGTTGCTGGCGGGTGGATTGTCTTACACGGTGGGGACGATCTTCTATGCGTTGGACAATATCCGCTACTTCCACGCCGTGTGGCATATCTTCGTCATGGCGGGTAGTATCTTCCACTTCTTTGCCGTGGCCTTCTACGTAGTTCCGTGGGCTCGGTAAACCGGGTACCATGCGGTTAGAATAACCGGATGATCCGTGCATCGCGGTTCATTGCCCACTGAACGACACATTGCCCGCACGTTTTCGTGCGATCCCACCTGATTGCCGGATGCTAACTTGACGCAGGACGATAATGCCCGGGTTCGAAGGCGTGCCATTGTCGCCTGCGCGCTGGCTGTTTGCATCTTGCCGTTTGCGCTTTTCGGTGCCTATCAGGCCTTGGCCAATATGCGCAACGACGTCCTGCAATGGACTTCGTCGAACCTGCCGGCCAAGCAGACATTCGACTGGTTTGGCGAGCACTTCGAAGGGCAAGAGATTATTTTCGTCTCTTGGCCCGAGTGTACGATCACCGATCCCCGGCTTGACCAATTCGCCGAGCGTTTGCGTCAAAGAATCTCGAACTTATCCGACGACGATTCTCCTTCGCTTATCGAAAGCGTAACCACAGGGGCGGATGTGTGGCGCGAGCTGACGTCCCCTCCATCCAACTTCTCGCCGCAGCATACTCTGGCGAAACTGCGGGGAGTATTAGTTGGCCCCGACGGCAAGACCAGCGGTGCGGTGGTGGTGTTGTCGAAAGAAGGAACCATACAAGGGCAGAAGGCCATCTCGCTGATCACCAAGGTGGCCAGCGAAGTCGAGGGGCTCGATCCCAACGATATCAAAATGGCCGGCTATTCTGTGCAGATGGCCGCTGTCGATAGAGCCAGTCTGGCCACGATGTATCAAATGGCGGTGCCCGCCGGCTTCGCAGTGATGTTTGCAGCCTGGTTCTTTCTACGGAACATTCCGCTGACGCTATCCGTGGGCATCATCGCGGGATTCTGCCAGGCCGTGTCCTTGGCAATGGTTTACTATCTGGACGAACCAATGAGCGGGATGCTCATCATTATGCCGGTGCTGATCATCGTGATCTTCGTCTCCGGGGCCATCCATCTGATCAACTACTTCGGCGATGCAGTACATGAGTCGGGCCCGGAAAATGCGGCGACGATTGCACTTCGCGTGGGCGGATTTCCCTGCCTGTTGGCCGTGGTTACGAGTGCCTTGGGTATAGCTTCGCTATCGGTAAGCGATATTGAGCCGGTGCACGTGTTCGGCTGGATGACGAGCCTGGCGTTGGTCATCACGGTGGCGGCTTTGTTGACATTGCTGCCGGGAGTGCTGCTGTTCGTCTCGAGCCGTTCTCCAAACGGTGCGACCAAGGTGGCACTGGCCGGTGAGTCGAAGATGGACGCCTTCTGGACCTGGCTGGCACACTTCATTGAGAAGTATCAGTTTCCGACGCAGATTGTATGCCTTGTGTTTGCCCTGGTGTGTGCCGTGGGGCTGCGGCACGTGCAAACATCGATGCAGCTACGCGATTTCTTTCTCGACTCGAGCCGCATCGTCGGAGACTACAAGTGGATCGAAGACCGCCTGGGGCCGATTTTTCCCGCTGAGGTGGTTCTCCAGTTCGATGCTGATTCGCTGTTGAACATGCATGATCGTCTGCGATTGGTCACCCAAATCGAAAAAGCCATTCGCGATGAGCATTTGCAAGCCGTAACGGTTTCGGCCGCCACGTTCACGGCCAGTCCCGTGCTGTCGAGTCGGCTGCGTTGGGCGGTGCGACGTGCCGTGATGGAGAAGAAGCTGGAAGAGAATCGCCCACGGTTGGAAGACAAGAAGTTTCTCGCACAAATCGATGGGAGTGAGAACTGGCGAATTTCAGTGCGGTTACCCTCGCTGTCGAATGAGCCCTTTGGGGAGAAACTTGAACAGCTTCAACGAACGGTTGATGCGACCATCGAAGAGCGAGTGCCCGAGGAGGCAGGACACATCAAGGTAATCCACACGGGTTTACTTCCCTTGGTGGCCCATTCGCAGGCCGAACTTTTGGATGGCTTGATTTGGAGCTTCCTGACCTCGGTATTCTTAATCGGTGGGGCACTTATAGTTGGATTACGCAGCATTAGGCTGGGGGTGTTGTCGACCCTGCCAAACTTCTTTCCAATCATTCTTGTCTTTGGAGGATTGGGTTGGCTGGGGCAGTCCGTCGATATCGGAACCATGATGACGGCCAGCATTGGGCTGGGTATTGCCGTCGATGATACGGTTCACTTTCTGACCTGGTTTAAGCGATCGATTGATTCCGGCCATTCGCGGCGAGAAGCGGTCTGTCATGCTTATCTGCGATGTGGTAGTGCGATCATTCGTACAACCATCATCTGTGGTGCGGCGATGGTCCTGTTCGCCTTCAGCAGCTTTGGTCCCGCGCGACAGTTTGGTAACACGATCTGCTGGTTGCTTGGTGCCGCGCTAATTGGCGATCTTCTACTTTTGCCAGCCTTGCTGATGGGCCCCGTGGGGCGGTTGGTATTGCCGGCCACGTTGGACCGCTCGCCGGTTAGAAAAGAAGTAGAAGTGGCGGTCTAACGCTGTTTATTCGGTGCCTTATTAAGACATAGGCCCACAGGCGAGCCGCGATGGGCCATTTTGCCGCACCTGTTCCGGAATTTGGGCAGCAGATATATTAAAAAGCGTGCCCCATTCATTCGGATTGGAATGGGGCTGGTTGGGGTGACTCATTCCGCAACTCGGGGCGTCGGGGACGATTTGCTGGCCTTGAGAAGGCCATCGCCGCTCCGACACTTATACGTATGCGGTGGCGGAGCAACGATCGAATGGGACGATTTAAAGGCCTTTTGCGCGACACTTGGTGGCTTTGGATTCTCTTCGCCATCATCTGCGGCTTACTCATCTACTACGTTAGTGTGGTGTTAGCCGTGATGATCCCGGTCCTATGTTTCTCGTTTGTCTACTTCGCGCTCATCCGGTATGACGAACACGGCAATGCCCGAGAGATCGGCGGTCCCTAAAGCCTTGGCTGCCTACATTCGCTGTCGCTCTTTCGCGTGACCTTCCTTAGAAGCTGATTCTTCGTCTCTCCTCAATCGTGGCGTACGCGGGTTTTTTCTCTGCCTTCGTGACTTCTGCCTGCCCGAAGGGTTCAATGGTGAGGCTGTCTGGTTGGACAGCTCGATTCGGAATTCGGAGACAGGGGAGATTTGCTCGTGCGATGTACGATTTTGGTATTCGCCATCGCGGTGATGTGGAATTGGGGCAGTTGTCTCGCGGGAACTCTCTACCTGGATCCGATGTTTGGGGTTCAAAAGACCTCGAATCTGACCTACGGCACTGGCTTGGTCAACAACGGTGGAAGCTCCATCGACTTGAAGCTCGACATTTATCAACCGACTGACATTGGTACTCCCGTGCCCTCAAGTCTGCCCACGGTGATGTACATCCATGGCGGAGGTTGGCAGGGGGGAAATAAGAACTCAGTTCCTCAGTCAACCGGCTGGGTATCGCGGGGCTACAACGTGGTCTCGATCAATTACCGGCTGTTAGGCGATAACCCTCCGCTTACAACCGGCTTGGCAGACGACTTTGCATTCTTGGCGTTCCTGGGGCCACCAGGCATTATTAGCGGTGTGAACGCTTCTCTTGAGGATGCTCGCTTGGCTATGGAGTGGATGTATGACAACGCTGCGACCTATGGGATCGACCCAAATCGGATCGGACTTGCTGGTAGTTCGGCAGGTGCCGTGATGTCGCTTGCCCTGGGGCACGTAGGGCCTTCAGAAAACGTTCAGCCACGCGCGGTTATTAGCAGCGTCGGCGCACTTTTCAACGATCCTTCGCCTTACTCGTCCGGCGGTCCGCCTACAATGCTGATTGCCGGCGAGACGGACACGACGGTTCCGGCCTTCGTGGTTGAATACACCAGCGAACTCATGACAGACGCCAGTATTTATAACGAGTTGTACGTTCAGCCCAACACCGGACATCAAACCAATTGAAACATGGTCTTTGATGGCGAAACGTTATCGCAGCACGGCATCAACTTTCTCCACACCCATCTGGCGACAGTTCCCGAGCCCTCGACGGCGATGTTGGCAGGGATCGGCGCGATGGCTTTCTTGTTGGGTGCGCGTCGAAAGTTGATGCGTGTGTGATCGCCAGGGTGAGTTGTTGCGTTGGATGGCGTTCTACGATTCTGCGGCGTTCTTCAGGTTCTGAGTCTGGTTGGTGGGCGGAATTGCTTGGTACCCCGGCCAACCGCCCTTGTTCATCACCTGAGCATCCACATACAGCAGCACACCAAACCACGCTGCTGTGATAGCGACCCACATCACCATGCCCAGGATGCAATTCCGAATCAGCTTTTGGGCTTCGCGACCAAACTCACCACGTCGCACGCGTTTCCACATCTCGATACCTGTCGAAAGATAGCGTGCCGCGTTTTTCGACGAGGGATCGGGGCCGTTTTGTGGCTGCCCGCTGCCGTGTTTGCCACGAAGCTGCCACATCTTCAAGTGGAAGTATGTTGAGATCAAGATTGGCATTCCGATGAAGATCGCGAGGCCAAGCAATAAGGCCTGCTCCCAATTCTCGCGGATCATCAGGAACTCGATCATCGAAGTGGCCCGCTACTGAAAATTCGACAGATCAATTCTGCAGGTGCTTGTCGGCAAAGTCGAGGTAAGCGGCCCAATCGAAGTCGGTCACATCGTGAGCACCGCTTCGAATGTGATAACCAATAGTTCCATGCACCGGTTTGTCGATCGCTGGCATTTCTGTGGTTCCCAGGCCTACGGTGCCGAGCAGTCGGTATACGGGATCTGCATTCAGGGCCGAAAGGAACTCGCCTTTGGGATCGGCCCAGCGGTCTTCCACAGCGCTGGCGATGTATACAGGACGGGGGGCAATTAGGGCGACGAGCATGTGCTGATCGACGGGAAGCTTATCTTCGCGGTCGTTGAAGGCAACGAAGTTGTCGCAGAACCAGTGCGGGAAGGCGGTATTGATCCGCTTTACTTTCTCTCCGAAGCGTCGTCGGCTAAGTGCAGCGCCGCCGCAACCAGAGTTATTGCTGATTGCGATCGCGAAACGTTCGTCTGTGGCGCCGGCCCACAGTGCGGTTTTGCCCAATCGCGAGTGCCCCATGACAGCCACTCGGGTGTGATCGACCGAATCGTCGGTTTCCAGGTAGTCCAATGCTCGACTAAGCCCCCAGGCCCAAGCCCCGATGCTGCCCCACTCGTTGTCTTTGGGTTTGGTTTGTCCATCCTTGTAGAACAGCGGTTGGATGCCGTTCTTGAAACCATCGTCGAAGTCAGGATCCATGTCACCGTAGTAATAGGTGACCAAGGCATATCCTCGGTCGATGATCTCATCGACCGACCAGCGTGGGATACTTTTGCCACGCGATGCTTCGGTTGAGCGGTGATCGACGATGCCATGACTCTCGTTCGATCGCATCCAGTTCGGCGAGAGCTTGATTGCCGGATCCATCAAGATCGAGTGATTGCCCCAAAAGTTCAGCACCAGAAACGCAGGTACCGGGCCTTCCACGTCGTTCGGCACCAACATCAACAAATCCAGGCTCGGGCCATCGGGATCTTCTGAAAAGTGAATTGTCACCTGCTTGCGGGTTGCTTTTCCGTTCAGCGCGTTCTTGTCTTCATCGAAGACCTCGAAGCTCATGTGCTCTGGCCGCCCGGGGCTGTGGCCGTAGACGTACTCTTGGAACAGTTCGAGGATTTCTGGCCGCCGCTTGGTGGTCCAGGTTTCTGCGTCTTCGACCGGACTCCCGTCACTGGCGATCAGCGGGTTGGGCAATTCGAACTCCGGCACTTTGCTTTCGTCGTAGTTCACCTCGTCTGATACGGCAGCAAAGTTGCTGGCAAGCAGTGTGGTCGAGAGCAAGAGTGCGATCGCGATTGGACGATTCATGGAGGCTCCAGCCGTAGTGTGTATTTCGAGTGTCGTTCTTGGCGGTAATCGTTGTGCCCATGCTAGCAACAACGCTGTGCCATTTCACGCCTGCGAGGGCAGAGAAGGGCCCGAAGTTGCATCGGTATTGCCAGCACTGCCACCGCCGCACGGGTCGCTAAGGCCGTCAAAATCGAAAAAAAGCTACCTACCGGCATATCCGGAAGCCGAAGAGCTATTAGCAGGAGTTTCGTACCCATGGCAGACCTGGGGAAGTTGGTCCGTCGGCGAGGCCCTGTCCCTTTGCTGAGTGCTTGGTAGCCGCCTTCAGAATGTTGAGCTGCCAGCCTTGCGGGGTAATCGATCAAACAACCGAAATCGTTCCCGATACGAAAATGAATGAGGGGGAAGTGATGCGACACCTGATGGCGTTTCTCGTGGTCGCCGGCGTTTTGGCCCCCGCCATGGCCATGGCCGACGACAAGAACGCCGCTCAACGGATTGCCAACGGGCTCCGTGATAGCGGAAAACTGAGCGGCTACAGCATTGGCGTTAAGTATGATGACGGCACTGCCTGGCTCAACGGCCAAGTGACCGACAAGAAACAAATGGCCACCGCCATTGCACTGACTAAACGTCAGTCGGGCGTGAAGAAGGTGGTGAACAATCTGCAGATTGCCACGCCGCAGGTGACCCCGTCGCCCGTGCAGCCGGCCAGTGCTTCGAGCCCGATTCAGGCTCAGCCGAACATGGCCCGGATGCCGGTTCAACGTACGGCAATGGCCGGCGGCGGACCTGGTATGCCTGTTCCTTCTCCGGCAATGGCCCCCGTAGGCTACGGGCAGGGTGCTACCCCAATCCCGAGCTATGTTCAAGGTGCCGGTGGAGCTGCTCAAGCTCACTACGACCAGCCGCATCTGCCGAACTACGCCTGGCCTAGCTACGCTGCCTACCCGAACTATGCTGCTCTGACTTATCCGCAGCAATACTCGGCAACGGCTTGGCCTTACATCGGTCCCTTCTATCCCTATCCGCAAGTGCCCTTGGGCTGGCGGAAGGTATCGCTGGAATGGGACGACGGTTGGTGGCACCTCGACTTCCGCGATCGCCACAGCCACTAGGCTGAGCTAAGAAGCTTACACACTTCCGAACCCCCGCCGGTCTTGACGATCGGTGGGGGTTTTTTGTTTCGTGCTATGTCGGCGAGGGCCAAGTTCTGCCCTAGTACTCGATCAAGCAGAATGGTGAGTGGTTGGCGATCTTCTCGGCACCGCCCAGTGCCTTCAGCTCGATGAGGAAGGCACAGCCGTGCACTTCGGCGCCGGCTTTTTCGACCAGATGGCAACAGGCCTCGATCGTTCCGCCGGTAGCCAGGAGATCATCAACAAGCAACACTCGTTGTCCGCGAGAGATGCCATCAATGTGCATCTCGAGCGTGTCAGTACCGTACTCCAACTCGTAGTGAAATGCGTGTGTATCGAACGGCAATTTGCCGGGCTTGCGGATCGGTACGAATCCTACGCCAAGTTCCAGGGCGAGCGGTGCGGCGAAAATGAAACCGCGGGCTTCTGCCGCCGCGATCACATCGGGTGGGTTATCGCGATAGCGATCGGCCAGTTGCGAGATGGCCGCGCCAAAGGCCGTGGGGTCTGCCAGTAGGGGCGTAATGTCGCGAAACATGATGCCCGGCTTCGGGAAATCGGGAATTGCCCGGATGTATGGTTTGAGATCAAAAGCCAGGGTTTCAGACATTGAATCGCTCCGAAGTAACTAAGCAGGCGGAAGACGGCGATGCTTCAAACGGTCTTATAGGATAGGCCGAAGGGAGACAAATTGCATCGCCCCTTGAGCTGAGAGGCAGGCATGAGGCCGTGGAAACGGTAGTCTAGTTGCGACACCCCTGAAAATGTGGCCGCTAGAGGCTGGCCGCCGTAGTGTGAGTCACGGAGTCTTTCGAGCGGCGGTTTCTGCGGAGATACCACTGCATGAGGGTCCGCCCACCGGTGGCACGATAGACTAAGCGTACGGCCCGATACACCTTGCGATGGTTCTTTGAAAGGGTGTTGACGCGTTCCCAAAAGCCATGACGAGTCGCTAATTCGGCATTGGAGATATACCGATTGTCGGCCTTCATGCCTTTGTAGATCTCGCAGGTGTAACACGGAAGATCTTCGTGGGTTTCTCCAGCACCCTGCAGGGTAGCCCGCGCGGCTTTGATTTTAGAGTTGTTGATGGCGTTCTCTAAGCCGTGTTCGAAGACATTCAGGCCGAAATCTCCCCAGAAATTTCGACAGCACCCCAGCAACTTGCCGTCCCAGTTGATCTGGGGTTCGTACCAAAGTTGATGGCAAATTGCCCGGGAGTAGTCCATCCCTGTGGCCTCTTTGTATTGGCTACGGGTGGCTTCTTTCCCGATCTGCAACTCGACGAATTGCCGATCATTGATGGGCGAGTAGTCTTCATCCCAGTTAAGCTTGGGCTTGAAGTCCATATCGAGTTCTTCGGCCATCTTCTTGGCCTTGGGCAACTCGTGTTCGTTATGACCGAACACGATGAATTGCCAGACCATGACCGGGTACTTTGAGTTGTGCTTTTTCTTGTACTCGTTGATCCGCCGGATGTTACTCATCACCGTGTCAAAGTTCCCTTTCACACGGTAGATGCTGTATGTTTCGTTGCTGGCCCCATCGATGGAGCAGGTCATGTTATTGAATTGATACTTGACCAGCGCCTCCATCACCTCTTCTTTCATGGTGTTGAGATTCACACCATTTTCGGCCGTCAACTTGACGTCTCGTTCGTGGGCCACCTTCATGATGTCCACGATTTGAGGATTCAGGAAGATTTCTCCATAGTTGGAGAGTTCGACGTGTTTGATCGAAGGGTTCTCGTCGAGCAGTTTGCGGAGATTATCAGCTCGTAGATAGCCGCTAGCGATGTTTGGGCGAATCTCGCCACTCGCTGTAGGGCATGCCGGACACTTAAGTTGACATGCTCCCATGGCCTCCAAGTGAATCTTGGTGGGCCGAATGTTAGCGGCTACGACGTTCGTCGTCATCACGAGCACCCCTGTCGAAGAATGGTTACAATTGCGACAGATATCCGGAAGTAGTGCCTGGCGCGCACTACGACCACTGAAGAGAACCTTCAATCTGCTAATCTAACCAACCTTACCAGTTAAGCAACTTTTTTCATGGCAATTTCTTGCCCCCCCACTTGGCTTGGAATAACCGGTTCTAAGGTTTTGTTTGGTCGTTACACTTACGGTCCAAACGTGGGGCGGAAGGGGCTCTCTTCTGCAGGCGGCGAGGAACGGGCATTTGGGGCGAGAGGTATCAGGCGGTACACGAAGGGGAACGCGTGAGCACCCAGCAAACAAGTGAAGTTATCCCAGCCGAAGAGCAGTCCAGTGGAGTTGATGGGCTGGCGGTGCTCCGCTGGTTCGATCAACTTTTTCAGGAGCTTCTCACGACCTCGTGGGGGCCCTTGCTGCGGCACGGCGACGTTCACATCTTCGAATCGCTGCGATGCGAACTGTTCTACAGCACCATGGCCATGCTGCGCCGGAATTACGCCGCAAAACCGAAGCAAGGCTTGATGCGCCGTGCGATTGAAGGGGGCCTGATGTGGGCTCACATGCGAAAGATCGCAGCCGAGGATCGTCGTGCGGCCGCAAGCTCGGCGCCGCTTGACAAGGTGGATCTTTTGTTCTGGCCCTGTGAGCCCACGCATATCAAGGCAATGCGACCCGTCATTCGGTGGCTTGCTGAAGAAGGCATTTCTCACGGCGCCTTCGCTTGCAAGCCCCGCATCCATGCCGAACTGGTTGCCCAAGGCATCCCAACGGTTTCTCCAGTGGCCTACTGGAGTGATGAAATGCTGGCGGCGAGGAAACAAGGTGAGCGGCGAGCAAAAGAGTTGCTGGCCGCAGGGGAGATTGACTATTCTCGGCTCACGCCTTTTGGCAATACACAGACACTCGTTGAGAACCTTCGAGCTGAATCGGAGTTGCTCATCCCGCTGGTATGCCGAGCCCAGTGCAATGCCGAAAACGTCTTGAAGCGGATCCAACCCAAGCTACTCGTCGTGGGAAACGATTTCACCTACGAGGGACGCGTTGGCGTCCAAGTGGCCAAGGCGGCCGGGGTGGCCACGGCCTGTCCCATGCATGGCGTGGTGGCGAATAATCCCTTGCACACGGCACACATCTCCGACAAATACCTGGCCTACGGAGACAGTTCGCGACGCCACTTGCTTGAAATCGGGTTGGATGACGACAAGATCGCGGTTGTGGGAGCGCCCTATCTCGACGATCAACCGAAACAGTCTGGGCATATCGATCCAACGATTCGAGAACAACTCAAACTAGACGACAACAAGCCTTACGTGCTGGCGGCGAATTCGGGACCTGGGAACACGATATCGTACGAGCATCATGAGCGGGTCTTGGAGGCGATGTGTCGGGCTAGCGCCGCGTTGCCGCAGATGCAATTCGTAGCCAAACTTCATCGAAAAGACCGAGTTGAGTTCTACGAAAAGGCTACCGCGAGCTTTCCTGAGGCAAGGCTTCAGTACATTCAGCACGGAGCCCCAGGCTATCCCACGAATATCTTCAACTGGCTTCAAGGGAGCACGGTCTTATTGACCGGCGCCTCTTCCGTCGCGGTCGAAGCCATGTTGATGGGTGTGCCGGTGATCACCATGGACTACGCCAACGAAATAACGGGGGCCGACTTTGTTGACTCTGGTACGACGACGCACGTGACCGACGCTCAGGGGCTGATCGAGGCACTGAGAGCACTCGTTGAGTCGCCCGAGCAGAGAGCCAAGGCGCTTGAACGCTCAAATACCTATTTGCAAGATATGTTCCTCAGCGTCGATGGAAACTCTGCCCGACGGACTGGAGAAGAGCTGTGTCGGCTGGCGGGCATACGATAGTTTCGGACAAGATGACGAGCTGAATATGTGGGGCGGGGGAATTGTCCCTCAGTTCCTCGACTTTGCTCGAGGGGCATGACGGAGCAACCAGTTCTTGTCGTCCACGTACAGCCACGCTTCGCGGATCCCGAGTTTGGCCAAGGTGGAGATGGCTTGTCGATCGTGCAGCGATGATGCCAACAAGCCGGGGATGGTCGGTAACCCGGCGTTCATGGGGTCTTCGCTGCCAAGATATTCTCGCCAGAACGTCCATTCTTCCTTTGTGAACTGTTTGCCATCGAGCAGGTTTTGGCTGAAGACAAAGCTGTACTCGTCGCCGAGCTTGCTGGCCCCCAGCGCGATCGCCGCCGCTGAGTAATCACCCTGACCTCGTCCACCGCCTGGGTAGACGGTGGCCGCTAGATTGTGCCGCTTCAGCACCTCGGCCACCGGGCGGCATGCTTCGACCAAGAGCTGTTGCAACTCTTTGTTGTGTGGCGACGGGGGACGAACGATTTCCCCATTGTTTCCATAGGCCTCGATGTCTAATGCGATTGAACCTGTTAGTTCGGCATCGATGATGATGCGCTCCAGGGCTTCGGCTCGCTGTTGCCAGTGCGTCGGGCTGAGCCACACCGTGGGGTGCAATACGTAGCCGCCGTTCACCTCGACGCCCATCGTCTCTCGGGCGAAGTTCATTTGCTTGCGGATTCCCCAGGCTTGTCGAGCAGGATTTCCGCCATCAGCAGCGGTGGGCTGATACTTCGCGGTAACCCAAACCGAATTAAAGGGGCGATCTTCGGGCGCTCGGAGTGACGCCCGGCGAAGATAGGGTTCGTTGTAGTAGGTCCTCAGGTGAACGAGAGGTTCCGCGGTCGTGTCTTGAGCAAAGGAGTCAGTTGCTTGGGGCTGTAGAGCTGCAATGGAAGTGGCGAATACGGCCAGAACGGCATAGAGTCGAGTCGTATTCAATGCTTGTATGAACTCCCCACGAATTCTAGTTATGATCGTGTGCGATGAAGACTGTTACGATCTCCCTCGATCATAGTAGGTATCGATATGCTGCGATGGCTTGCCTGTGTGACATTAACCTGTGTGACATTAATAAGTGTAGCTCTGCATTGTTGCGTTAGTTTCGCGGCGGACCAGCCCCTTCCAGAGGAGGAAGCTTCAACGGCCTTGCGAAAAGCCGTTGACTTCTATCGGCAGCAAGTGTCGATCGAAGGTGGCTACCTATGGCGGTACAGCGAGGATCTCACTCGCCGCGAAGGAGAACTGCGCTGTATAGAAACCACCGCTTGGGTACAGCCGCCGGGTACACCGACTGTGGGAGCAGCTTTTCTCACTGCATATCAATTGACCGGCGATAGAGAATACTTAGAAGCCGCCAAGGAGACCGCTCACGCCCTTGTGCTCGGCCAGCTTGAGTCTGGGGGGTGGGACTACCGCATTGAGTTCGACCCGGCGCGGCGAGAATATTACCGGTACCGTGTGGATGACGACCGTCCCGATGCACGGAATGTGACGACGCTGGACGACAACACGACGCAGGCGGCGTTACGCTTCTTGATGGACGTAGACAAGGCACTTAACTTTCAAGACCCCGAGATTTCGGAGGCTGTTCAGTACGCACTCGATCGGCTCTTGGCTGCTCAGTATCCCAACGGGGCTTGGCCGCAGCGGTTCAGCGAGGCACCCGACCCGAGCCAGTTCCCCGTTCTCAAGGCGAACTACCCTGAGACCTGGTCACGAACCTATCCCAAGCAAGATTATCGCTCGTATTACACACTCAACGACAATACGTTGGCCGATATGATTCGCACGATGCTCCATGCCGCGGCGGTGTACGGCGATGAGCGGTATCAGCGGTCGGCAGAGCAGGGGGGCGAGTTTCTTCAGCTCGCTCAACTCCCAGATCCCCAGCCCGCGTGGGCCCAGCAATACAACGCGCGCATGCAACCGGCCTGGGCACGGAGATTCGAACCACCTTCGATCACAGGTGGCGAATCACAGGGGGCGATGCGGGTGCTGCTGGACCTCTACCGAGAGACGGGCAAGCGAAAGTTCCTGCAGCCAATCCCATCGGCGATTGAGTATCTCCAGCAGTCGCGTCTGCCCGACGGTCGTGTCGCGCGTTTTTACGAACTGGAGACAAATCGCCCACTTTACTTTACGAAGGAATACGAGCTTACCTACGACGATGGCGATCTTCCCACGCACTATTCGTTCAAGGGAGGATCCGCGCTCGACCATCTTCAGGCAGAGTATGAACGAGTCAGCACCAGTGAGTACTCGCCACCTGTCGAACGTGATGTCACAGACGTGAAGATGACCCCCAAACTCGCCTCGGCGACCAAGGCAGTTGTCGGAGGAATGAACGAACGCGGAGCGTGGGTTACTCCCGGACGGTTGCATACTTACAAAGACGGAGACGACCGTGTGATCGACTCCCGCGTCTTCGCTCAAAACGTGGAGACCCTCGCCCGATTCATCGCAGCCGCGAAGCAAACTTCGAGCAATTAGTCACCGGTCGATTCCGCTGCGGCGGTTTGGGCCTCTTTCGGCATCGAGTAGTCGCGCCAGAGCACAATCTTGCCATTCTTCACAACGAACAATCCGGCGACTGGGAAGTGCATGTCGGGCTTGTCGTCGCTTCGATAGAAGTGATCGACTCGTTCATTGATAACCAGGTTGCCGATGACGTGGGAGCGGAGAATGTCCCATTGCACCTGCTCGATACTTGAGAAAAAAGGCTCGATCCGTTCTTTAAAGGTATCTTTGCCCTTAATGTCCGGCATCCCCTCAAACATTTGGTAGATGATCTTATCGTCGAAGAACCCGACGATCTGTTCGATATCAATCGTCGACCAACTGGCACAGAAATCGTTCACCAGCTTTTCGTTTTTCTTTTCAATCTCGCTCAGCTCGCGAGGTTCGTCATCGGCTCCGACTGTCGTGCCGGCGAAGGAAGCCAGCAGTCCCGCACCGCCGAGGGTTAGAAGTTCGCGTCGATGGGTGAGAGGAAACGGCTTGTCCATAACAAACTCCCGGTTGTAGGGTTGAGTAGTTCATGAACTGTCCTGATGAACGCACCTAGGTGTTTATTAGCGACCATGGCTCGCGGTATGAGACTTCACGAAGCAGTGAGTCGGCCTCGCTGTCATCGATGATTTGCTCGTTCTTGGCGTCCCAGTTCAACGGGCGGCCAACTGCTTGCGATACGTAGCCTAGGTGCCCCGGCGAGATTGAACGATGGGCGACTTCAGCCGGTGCGATGCACTCCTCGCGGGTCTTCATGCAGTCGAGGAAGTTTCGCGTATGGCCCGGTGAAGTGACAACTTTTTTAGGGCCGGGGTTAAATCCAGGTTTCAACCAACGCTCATCGGATGCCTCCGAGCGGCCGCGTCGTACGTAAACCCAGCCGTCTTCGCCGATCAGTCGGGTGCCCAACTCATTGCGATTGGAGATCGAACTCTCCACGCCGTTGGCATAGGTGCAGCGAATTTCGAAGTTCTCGGGCGTGTTGTAGACATTGGTGTCTGGGAACGTCCAGCCTACGGACACGATGCGCGAGGGGCCTAGCCGGTCGACGTCGAGGGCCCAATGGGCGATATCGTTGTGGTGCCCAATCCAATCCATCAGTACGCCACCACCATAGGCCCGATGCCCACGCCACCATCGATGGTGACGGGCACGCATATATGGAAGCACCGGCGAGGGGCCGCACCACAGGTCGTAATCCAAATGCTCAGGCGGTTCGGCTACCGTTGGGTCACCCATTGGCTCGGAATAACCCGGCGGCAGGCCGACTTCGACGCGACTGATTTTCCCCAGGTGACCGTTTCTCACCAGTTCAACCACGTGCTGGAACCGCGGATCGGAGCGTTGCTGCGAGCCTGTTTGAAACACCGCCTTGCGGCGCGCGACTTCCTGGCAGACGACTTGCCCTTCGGTGAAGGTATGTGTGAGCGGTTTCTCACAGTACACGTCTTTGCCCGCCGCTAGCGCTTTCAACGTGCACAGGGCATGCCAGTGATCGGGCGTGGCCACCACTACGGCATCGATGTCGTCGCGGAGGCAGACTTCGCTGAAGTCATCGGTGATGAATAGCGACTTCGGGTCCGAGGTAGTTTTATCCGCGGTGAAGAGCTTTGCCACGACATCGCGAGCACCATCGCGTCCCATGGAGGGACCTTTCCCCCAGGGTAAGTCCCGATAATGCAGTTTGTGCACATCACACAGCGCTGTCACTCGGGCGTCTTGATGCCCAAGGAATTCATACAACAGATTGAAGCCCCGCGAGCCGAGCCCCACGATGCCGACATTGATGCGGTTGCTGGGCGCGGTTTCGCCGTCACGCCCCAGGGCCGAGGCGGGCACGATCATCGGGGCTGAAATTGCGGTGGCCGAGAGTTTCAAGAATCGCCGCCGATTGACGCGCGGCTTAGACTCGTTCATCTTCCGTACCTCGTTGCCAGGGGCTGTGAACAGCCCGATTCTAGCACGGCACGGTTGGAGATTCCCAGCAATCGTCCATTCTGGAGGTGAAACTTCCGTGGATTCGCTGGCAGAAAGCTCTCAGTTCTCGCTCAATAACACATCGCTAACCGAAACATCGATAACGTTGATGATGCCTTCGAGATCGAGGTGGTCTTCGTCCGTTCCGAAGGGGCGTTCAACGTACTGGGCAATGCCTTCGCCGGCGATGACGAAATAGGCGGCCACGATCGTTAGGGGGATGGTCAGAAAGCCAAAATCGTCGACAAGCCCCCAGGGCAAAACAATAAGGTAGAGCAAAATGCACTGCTGTGAAAAACGGTGCCAGGATACCGACATCAGCGTGTTCCTGATTTTTTCGCTGGCTCCGCTCACATCGAGAAACACACGCGACTCTCGATCGAGCACCCAGAAATGCTCCTCGCTCAGAGTTCCGGCGGCCTTCCATTGTTCGAAACGCTCGTATAGCCGACGCATGATATAGCTGGGAACGTGGGCCGGAGTGGCGGGGTCGTTCTCGAAGCCCGGCAGTTTCTGCAACTCGGCTTTTGCGCGAAGGTGATCGCGGAGCCCCAGGCTGAAGGCCACGATCGTGTTGCGTACGAACTGCCGTTGAGCAGGATCATCTGGCAGAAGTGCGCGGGTCTTCACGGCCAGGTTGCGGCTCACGTTGACTAGCGTGCCCCACAGCGAACGAGCTTCCCACCACCGCTCGTAAGCTCGATTGACACGAAAGGCAATCAATACGGCGATGGCAAACGAGAGGACCGCGTCTAGTGACGACGGAATGGGGGGCATATGCGGGAAAGGCCCCTTTGCGTCGAGTAGCGTCAGACAGCTATAGGCCCCCGCCAGCAACGCCCACTTCACAACGCGAATGAGAGGAGTTGTGAGTCCGAACCGTTGTTCCATCAATGCCTCGCCGCATGCGTTGTGGCTTTACTGCAATAGTCGCAGAATTCTAGCAGCGAACCGCATGATGATTGAATAGGAATCGCGATAATTGGCTGGTGACTAAGCCAACAATTCTTCCACTTCAGAACATCTCAGGGAGTGCATTACCAGCGGTTGCGAGCCGTCGGACTGGGATTGTTGCCACGTGGCGTGCAGCCCTTCCGCGGTGGCCAGCACATCGACATAGCGGCTGCAGCCGGTGCCCCAGGGGCTGACGAACATCGGGCGTTCGCGAGATAAACGTTCGATGCGGTTGAAGTCCCCATCGACCAGATAGGCCAGCCCTCCTAGTTCTTCGCAGGAGTAGCCTCGCGGGCGTTTAACCGCGGATGCATGTTCCTCGAGGTCCCGCACACACTCGCCGCCATCGTAGAAGAGCAACGACACATTGCGATCGGAGAATCGCCCGACTTTAGGTACGTCAACGATGCAGGTCCCGCGCGTCATGGCCACATCCCAGGTGTAGCCGCGGGAGAAGAAGTCGTAACGGATGGAGTTGGGCACCACGTGGCCATCGTGCAGCACCGCACAGCCGCTGTTCGAACTCGACCAACAGAAGGGATGGCTGCAAAACAGCAGCATGCGTTCACCGTCTTGGTCTTCGTAGAGATAGGGATCTTTGATGTGAATGAACTGCGGGTCTTGCGTTTCGAGCACCGTTCCGATCGATGCGTCTTTTAGGCCTTCCAACGAGTTGGCATGCATTCGATCGATAGTCCACACGCCAGTGCCGGGTTTTAGAAACTCTTCCAGGCCCGGTGGGTATGCGATGCCCGACTTCTCAGTTGACACAAACAGTTCAGCAGCCCCGTCCGCTGACAATCTCAGTGCGGCTCCCTCGATCGAGAGTACACCACGCTCCCCGATCGCCAAATCGGCCTTGGCGAAAGTGAGCAACTTCTCGAAGATTCCCGCTGCATCGGATGCGCGAAATACAGCCAATTCGAGTCCTCGCTCACCTGCAGCGGTGCCGGTTCGCGAATCGCCGGCGTTGCGGTATCGTCCCACAACCAGCAGCGAACCATCTTCGGCCTGCACCATGTTTCCGCCTCCGAACCAGAAGCCCGAGGCCCGCTGTTGCGGTTCAACGATCACCCGGGCCTTTTGCTGATCGACCAGTGCGGTCGCCAGTCGAATCAGTGCGGCTTCGTCTTCGGAAGAGAGGTGCGACATGTATGTCCATTCCTGGCTACAAAACTAGTCAGCTAAGTGCAAGGCAGTGCTGCATTCTAGGCCAGGAGGGAACGGGGATGCCATGACCGCGAAAGGCATTCTGTAAATGCTCAGTGAATTGCTGGGCAATCACATGACGAGTTTCTACTTTGCACCTTTCTCATCCAGCAAGCCCTGGAAGAGGGTCCAGAACTCGGTCCGTCGCTCGTACTCGTTTTGCGGTATCAGGTTCTTTGAGAATTCCAGACCGTCGAGTTGAGCCTGTGTGGCATTGAAGTAGGAGTAGTCAGGGTCGGCCATGGGGTTGCGAAACTCGGGGTCGCCCGGCTCGAAGTGATGCGAGTAGGCCCCGTTTTCGTCGACGTAGAAGTTGGCGAACAGCACCGGGAGCTTCATCTGAAGCTCGAAGGTCATCCGTTCGCCCAGAGGCATGTTCGCGGTCGCTTCTTCCCAGGCAGAGGTGACCTCAGGTGGAGTGGTGCTGTCCGGAAATCGAAGACCGTAGGCAAGCCCCGAGCGGGTCAGCCCGTCGTGGTTCAAATCAACCTGTGCTGGCGGGGGTAGCAGCAGGTTGAGTGAGCCTTCTTCGGTTAGGCCATTCACATTGATGGGGTCGGCCAGTCGATGAATTGTTTGGACTGTTTCCAGCTCTTCTTTGCTGAGGCTGTTTAAGAAGTCCTGTGGACGCGTGTACCCGTCTTCCCCGTGCGCTCGAACGAGAAGGTCGCCGTACTCTTGTCGTAGGGTCTCGGCATTTTTCTCGGTCTTGTAGCGACCGCTGACGCGCTCGAGGTTGAACCAGTCGGTCCACGTGGTTTGAATCTGTTCTTCGACCGGCTGTTCGCTGTCCACGGCTTCGGCCGAAGCGTAGCCTTCTCGCCCAGCGGCTTCGAGCAACGCGCTGAATACGTCGCGAACCTGGTGGGCCTGATTTTGGGAGTTGGATGGCTGGAATAGACTGCTAGCACCGGCCGCTTCCACTTTCATCGTTCAACCTCCCTGTCGAAGGACATGCTAGCAAGCCACGGTTGGTCTGCCTTCGTTCTTCTTCGGCTGAAGAGTGTGGCCCCCTTGAGAGGTGTTAGAAGCCGGCCGTTCGGAGAAGCACCAATTATTTTGACGCTTCTTCTGCATCGGGTGCTTCGAGGGTGACTGCCATGATGACCGGTGCTGTGCGGTCGGGACCTTTGATGAACTCGATTCTTTCGATCGGTTTCGCGCGCTGCGGAGAGATGGAAAGATATCGCACCTGTTGGTCACGCAGGGCGAAGGCGAACTCGCTTCCCGGAACATCGACACGGCGAATGTAGTCGGCGAAGTGTTCCCGGTTTAGGAGCGGGTGATCTTCCTGCTGTCCGCCAGCGTAGTGCAGTCGTACGATCAACGAGACGCTGTTCTCGCTGCTTGCCGGGTAGCCCCAACCGCTGACACCGCTGAGCATGTGGATCGTCTGAACGATACCGTTACAGGGTAACTCGGCCGTCTTGGGCATCGTGCGACAGACGTTGCCGTTCGGGCTATGGAGCATGATGACGTTAGGTGTAATGCCATCATGGGGATCAACCAAGCGGAATGGCACACCAGCAAACGTGTGAGGTGACCAGTCGTCGAAGACTAATCGTTCGACGCTGGCTTCGGTGCTGTTGAACATGCCCCGGTCGCTGGCGATGGTCGCCGCCTTTGCAATGTCCAATGGCAAGAACCTTCCACGTTGGGTGAGAAACTCGAGCAAGTCACGGAGTTCTTTCGCAGTGGCCAACTTTTCGATTCCCTCGGGCATGAGCGACTTGGTTGAGGGGGCTAACGCGTCGATATCTTCTCGCAGAATTGTGGAACGCTTGCCTTCGGCGTCGAGCAGTTCCACGGTGGTTTGGGTTTCGGAGGTGAGGATGCCGCTCAGCACGCGACCGTCGGACGTGATGACGGTGTAGATCTGGAAATTGCCCTCGACGCTGCGATTGGGGTCGAGGATATGTGTTAGGAGTTCCTCCTTCGGGTGGACCGCCATACCAGTCAAATCAGGACCGATGTGTTCACCTTCGCCAGAATGCTGGTGGCACTTGGCACAATGTTTTTTGAAGACTTGCTTGCCCGCAGTCGGGCTTCCTTGTTGCACGACCTGTGTGAGCAGATCGTCGATCACCTGTTGTCGATCGGCACTGGGTAAGGCACCTCCGCGGCTGAGCACGGCTCGTCCCGTCATTCGCACGGTTCCATCTGGATGATCCATCAGCATCTGTCGCTGATCGGGGGACAACTCGCTGAGGCGAATTACACCCTCGTTGATTCCCTTGAGTAATGCCATCGTGGAAGCAGGTCGCATCAGTAGAACCGTTACGGCTGCTGGACGCGTGGCGGGCGTAAGTTGCAACAAGTGCCCGACGAGTTGAGGGCCCAGTTCGTCTGTCTCGCATTGTCCGAGTGACTGCAGCAGAGCGATTGCAAGCTCAGGAGAGGTTTGTGGCGTGATGCGTTCTAGAATCTCAGAGACGGCATCCGGATCTTCGACATCGAACGCGACGAATTGTTGGGCTGCAGTCATACGTTGTTCAAGCGATGCGTCTGGGTCATCGAGTTGGTTTAAGAGAGCCTCACGGACCTGTGCGATGTATTCATCTAGCGAATCGCTTCCCCAACGAGTGGCGAGTTGAATGAGCAAACCCCGATCGGCCACAGAAAGCTGGGGGAGAAGCTTGGCCACGAGGGATTCGATGCCCGCTGTTTCAGCAAGTTCGCGATCTTCTGGCCAACCGGCCGCCAGTCCGCGGATGATCGCGCCTGAAATCGCAGGGTGCGCATCTTGGAGACTCTCGCAAAGAGTGAGGGCGTCATTCACCGGCTCACCGCGGGCGAAGTGTTCCGACACGACGGTGGCCGTTTCCAGGAGCGGGCCTGATTGCACCTTCGATGAGGCGAGGGCCTTCAAAAATGGCACGCTATGGTTAGCAGCAGCACATGTCGCGGCATCGGGGATCCAGCGATCGCCCTCGTTCTGCGGAAGCTGCATTACTTCGACGAGGTGTTCTCCTGCCTCGGGCACTGCTGGAAGATCGGCCAACGCCAAGAGTGCGGCCAGCCGAACTTGCGGTTCTCGATCAAAGCAGAGCTTCGCTTTGATCACTGCCTGAGTCGATTCTTCTACTGGCGGTAGAACCTGAATCGCCGTGCGACGAACGCCAGCCGAAGGATGATGCAGTGCGGTGAGCGCCGCCTTACTTGCATCCTTGTTGGTTCCGTCTAGCAAGCCCAGGCCATGGATCGTCCACAAGGCGTGGATGGCCCCCGTGTTCAGCCCAATTTCATCAACACTGGTATCGCCAACCAACTCAATCAACTGCGGTGAGATCGACGTCGCGTGCTGTTCGACTAGCAACCGCTGGGCCTGCTGGCGACAGAGCATCGTGGGGTGCGAAAGAGACTCGACTAACTGCTGAGGTGTTGCACCTGTTAGATGCAGGGCAGGGGGGGCGTTATTCGTGGGGTACACAACGCGATAGATGCGACCGTGCTTCTTGTCCCGCAGTTCGGTCTCGTAGGCTTGGCCCTTGCCGGTTTCGAAGCCTCGTGGTGTGGGGTTGTGCTGTACGATGTAGTTGTACCAGTCGATGACCCACACGTTCCCGTCGGGTCCAACTTCGGACAGGATGGGGGCCGACCATTCGTCGTCGCTGGCCAACAAGTTGAAGGGACTCGTGGAGCGGAAATCGCTCCCCTGTGGTGTGAGCACAAACGTGCCAATCAGATGGCCTGTGGGACCGTTGACGAAGGCAGTTCGATTCCAGTACTCGGCCGGGTAGCCTCGGGCGGTATAGAGTGCGTGCCCGGCCCCTGCGGTATACCCTCCGAAGTGATCGACCTGCCGTACGTTCTCGGTAATCGGTTGGAAGAGATGAGTATCGGCGATGGAACTTAACACCAGCGAACGCGTCCAGCCGCGGACCTTTTCATAGTACCGATTGGGGATCGGCATGAAGACGCTGGGGTTGTGGTTGGCAGTCGATCCGAACACGAGCCCCTCTTCGCTGAGCCCCAGTCCCCAGGTATTGTTGTCGGTCGAGCGGAGGAATTCGAACTCGGTCACGCGGGGAGGATCACTGTTGTCGAGCCGGAACCGGAAGAATCCCATGCGAATGGCTTGTTGCTTCTGGCCATCGATCACCGGCTGCGAAGGGTTGTAGCCCTGCATTCCCCAGATCCAATTGTCCAGGCCATAGCGGAAGTTGCTCACACCCCCGTGGGTATCGCGGACGTTCCAGTTCTCGATGAGCACCTCACGCTGGTCGGCCCGATCGTCGCCGTCGAGATCTTTAAGGAATAGCGTTTCGCTACCACTCTGCACGATCATGCCGCCGCGATGAAGCGTGATGGCGGTGGGGATGCTTAAGTCTTCAGCGAATACCTGAAAACGGTCGGCCACACCATCGCCATCGGTATCGGTGCAAATTCGAATCCGGTCGCGGCCCTTTCCAGGTGGCTGTAGTTCGTTCGGGTAGTCGAAGGTCTCGCAGACGAAGAGTCGACCGCGTTCGTCCCAAGTCATGGCGATGGGCTTGCCACCTAGATCTGGTTCGGCGGCGAAGAGTTCGACGTGGAATCCTTGCGGCGTCACGAAGTGTTTCAACGACTCTTGCGGCGAAAGTGGAAGCTGCATGGTGCTCTTGGGTTCACCTTGCGCTCCCCATTTGTCTGACGGAAAATAGTTTGGAATGTTTGCCCCCACGTCCGTGTACTCAAACGCATCCACATCGTCACGCGGAGATGTCATCTCTGGTGTGGGGAACGGTCGGTCGGCGGCGTAAGGACCAGCGGCGGTCGGGTCTTTCCCCGCGGCCCAACGGATACCGCGTTCGAGAAGATTCTGAAAGCCGGGGTGGCCCCATGTGCGTTCATCGTGTCCCCAAGCGGTGTAGAAGACCCTTCCACGACCTTGATTGCGGACCCAAGTCCACGGCTCGCGACCTTCATCATCGACGCGGTATGACAGCACTACCCGATTGCGTTCGTTATGCAGATGATGGACATAGGTTTCGTCCCAACTTTCGAACCCATGGAAACCCTGCATCACTGGATGTTCTGGTTCAGCGATTTGGGTGCGAAAATCACCCGTCCCGTGTCGCTCGAATTGGGCACCCATCAGGTCCACGACAGCCGGTGCATTGCGAAAGCAGTAGGTTGCGCAATGAATGGGAGCAAATCCACCGCCAGCAGCCACGTAGTTCAACAGGGCCTGTTCCTGCTCGGGCGCGATTTCGTCGATGTTCGCGTACAGCAGCAGGGCATCGTAGTCGGCGAGGGTCTTGGGGTTCAGATCGCCGACTTCATCGGTGTAGACGAGTTCAATTCCCCGCGTGTCGAACACCGGCTTCAACTGCGCGTATCGAGCCGGAGGGTTGTGGTGACCATTGTCGCCCAGGAATAAAACGCGAAGTTCGGCCGCGGAACAGGTTGCTGCACAACAAACCAGGAATAGCAACGTAGCTGCCGATCGACGAAACCAGCCTGTAGTCATGCGAAGTGATCCCTCAGTGCGAAGCAATTGCCCAAGATCGAACCCCATCTACCTATGGTGAGGTTGATCATAGTCGACCGAGCTTCCGGATACGAATTATCGGAAGCTGACCTCGAGGGAGGGTTGATCCAGGGGATGATCAGGCTGTGGGCAACGCAGTGACCGTGCGGAGACGCGCTCTACAGGATTCGATGTCCGACTCGGGTATGACTTCGCGGTGGAGTACGTGTAGTTTGTCGGTCTTTTGACGATAGCGAAGCACGACCACTTCCGGGAATCGGGCCACGGCACAAGTGGGATACTTGCGATTTACATTGCCCGCGTTGCCGACGAGTTGCAGGGGCACTCGGGCGTTCGAGTATGACCGAAATCGCACATTCCTCACGAGCGGCTCGTGCGTATGGCCGACAATCGTGGCCCACCCTCCGCAGGCAGCTCCCAACATGGCGGCCGTCTGGACATCATCGTGAGACCCCACCAGGCTCGCAATGAGCTTGAAGGTCCGTTCGTCGGCCTGATTCGACTGCCGGCCGAATTGAAGCAGCTTGTCTGCCACCAGCGAACGGGTTTGGAAAACACCTTCCCAAACGGTTCCCAGCCCGGTGAGTCCCTTCTGTTCCATGTAAGACTCGATCAGGTTCGCCAGACCGTAGGCGATGACCGAGGGTTTCAGGTCTTCGTCGAGCACATCCTCTCGCAGTGCGTCTTCTAGAGCCGCGTAGTCGAGCATCGACTTTGAAAGCTCGATCGTGCGATTCAACCCCAAAATGTGGCCGTGTGTCATCGTCACGCCTGCGGCCGCGTGGTGGTACAGCAGACTCCGAAGAACCTCGCAGCCGCCGGTGAACTGCACCAGTTGGTCGTCGCTGTACCCGTAGTCGTGATTTCCGCGGACGAAAATCGGTCGCTTCTTCAAGCCCACCCGTCTCTGCACGTTCCGCAGCATGGCAAAGTCTTCTTCCAGCCGCGCGGGTCGAGGTCCATGGTCGGCAAAGTCCCCCCCGAAGATCACGTCAAGATCATCGTCCACTGCCATCTGCAGCATTCTCTCGATTGCCCCTTCCTTGCGAGCGCGCTGCTTGGCCGTGCCGAATTTTTTTCCGGCGTGATAGTCGGTAATGACCAACACGCCCGGCAACGAAGCATCTCCCGCCGAGGTTGCATGTTGATGCAACCTGGATCTCACTCGAGGGCGACTTCTGCGTTGGCTGCGATGTAATTCAACAGCCTCTTCGTGGATATCCCAATAGCTTCGTAGGGTGGCTTCGAACGTGTGATGGGTGGCAATATGGGCCCGGGCCTGATCGCCCATATTCTGACGAAGCGTTTCATCTCGCGAGAGCTTCAAAATGGAGTCGACCCAGGCTTTACTATCTTCGGTCGAACGAATGAAGCCGGTGTGGCCGTCGTCGACGTACATGACTTGCCCCCCGTGATCGGCCACCACGACCGGAACCGCCGAGGCCCCCGCCTCCAGCCCCACCTGTCCGAGCGTCTCGGTAACCGAGGGGAAGAGCACCATGTCTGCCGAGGCGTAGATCGCCGAGAGCCTACGCCCACCTTGGGGGCCCAACAAGTGAACGCCTGGAAGTTCTGCCGCGCGGCGTTTCAAGTCGGTGTTGCCTTCACCGACCACTACCAGATGTAGATCGCAATCATCATCTTTCTTCGCGGTCTGTAGTCGCTTCCACACATCGACCAGAAAGTCGAAATTCTTCTCAGCCGTGATGCGGCCGACATACAGTGCGATGAATGAATTGGGCGGGACGTCGAAGTCTTCCCACAGGTTGCGGTTCTTGTGGCGTGGGTTAAATTTCTCAATGTCGGTTCCTGGGGCCAGGCAGCGAACTCGGCTGGGGTCTAAGCCCAACTTGTCTTGTAATTCGCTCTGCTGCGACAGCGATCGGGCCACCACGAGCGAGAACCGGGAGTAGTAGCGCCGCATGACCTCGGTGGTGGCCGCGTCGGCAAGCCGAGCCAGGATGTCGCCCAGATGGGGTCCGTTGCTCAGGCTTTGGTAGTTTCGCTGGACAATCTCGATCAGGGTACTCAGGTCATCTCCGGCGTTAGGGTTCGATTGCTCGAGATTCTCCAGCAGCGGTGCGATCCGGCGAATGAATAGGGGAGTGAGCCAACTCAGGGCGGGGGCAATGAGTTGCGAGGAGTTGTTCTGTAGATTGGCCACCTGCAAACGAACGATCTCCCGAGCGAAGCCTGGAAAATCGGTGTGATAGATGCCGACGACTGGTAGCTGCCGTTGTTGGGCAATCGAGAGACCAAAGATGCCAAAGGGTCCGGGCGTGGAAACATGGATCACGTCGGGATGGAAGCTTTGGATGTGCCGCGACACGGCTTTGCGGTGTTGTTCCAAGGGCATCGCGATTTGCACGTCGGCGTAGCCGGGAAGTGTGAACGAAGGGGCCCGAATCCGCCGCACGCAAGGAATTTCCTCACCCTTGCCTGGGACGATCAACTCGAAAGGCAAACGGTTTGTTTCGGCAAGTCCTCGCATATCGTGCAAGAAACGGCCCACACCATTCTTCGACTCTAGACCATAGGTGTCTGAGAAGCAGACGATTCTGCACGGCTGCGACGATGGCTTAAGGGGCGAGCGCACGGGAGGCTCCTTGCAATGGGCCGGGTGGTGAAAAATCCACCCATGAAGCGTGAGCGAGAGAACGCGGGTCGGCGAGAGGCGCTGCCCGAGTGATATAGCAAGAACCAAACTGCCGGGTTGAGTTCGGTATCAACGGAACCTGGAACGTCGTTCAAAGGATTCGGCTCAGAGAATCCATCGTACGCGGGGCCCTTTGCCCGGAGCCGAGTTCAGGCGTCCTGCCTTTGCAGACTTCGAGGGCTTCGCGATCGTCCTCCAGAACGCAGGGTATGAAGTCGCCATTGTGAAGAAGCGATGAATTCGATCGTCGTTACTCCACAAGCGTTAAAGTGAACATATCTTGCCTCCGCAGATGTGGTCAACCTCTACCGATGTGCTCACGAAACCTTAACAGATTGAAGAGAGATTATGGCTATCTGTGAGGCTACTTGAAGATGGCATCCAGGCCCATCGCTTGTTTATTGACAAATTTGGGTGCGAGCCTCCGCCCATAGCGGCTGACTAATGGATAACCCCACCCCATCATGCGGATGGTGACTAGTTGATCGAGCAAGCGGTAGCGACTTTGCTTCCGCAACAGAGTTGCGAGAATCCAGCGTTTGTTGGCGAAGGGAAGCGCTGAATCGTCGAGATTCAAACGAATCGAGTAGTTGCGTTTGAATCGCCGCTTGTACTCCTGCTTCATTGCTTCGAGTTGCGCGGCAAGTTCTTCATCCTGGGGGGCAAAGAAGTAAGTTCTCACCGCAGCCAAGATTTCAAACGTCGCGAACTGAAACTCAAGCCCGTTGGTAGGGATATCATGCTCGTCGGCGAGCCGCATCATTTGCCGAAGTTTGTCTAATGCAAGGTGACCTTCATGAACCGCGAGTTCCGGATCGCCGACCAGGTGCCCCAAGACACCTTTCATCGACTCATCAACAATCACGCGATCCCAGAAGACATAGAGCTGCGGTGGTAGCCGTAACCGGCGGAAGAAGAGTTGCCGCTCGGCGAGTTCTCGCACGTAGAGCAACTCTTTGATCACTTGGTCCGAGAGACGCAGGAATTGCAGCATCACGTTGGGTTTCACATGGGAAAGATGCTGCTGGACGTAAGAGGCCACCGCTTCTTCACAGCTCGCACCATGCCACAACTGGGCAAGTACGAAGGCATTCAACTCGACCCACGGCGAAGAGTTGCGGAGGAATGTGAGCTGTCGCAGTTTTCCCCAGCCGCCAGTCTGGCACCACACGCTAGCACCAATCACGTTCTCGGCCGCTTTAAGTTGGGTCAGGTACGACTCGCTATCCCAACCAACGAAGGAAGGGTAGGCACCGAAGCCCTCGTATTCGCGACGAGCCTGAAACTCGACCATCTTCTGGTGGTTGCTGACGAAGAACAGAGGGTTCAGCGGCAAGTAGCGAAAGAAATCGCTCTCGCCGTACTTCATCGAAATCACCAGCGAGGGACTATCCAGTTGCCCGAACACACTTTGAAATGTTCGCTCGTTCCAGATCAAGTCGCCGAGCTTGTAGGCCCCGACGGACCATGTGCGGAAGATGAGCAATCGCCGGTGCTGCTCGAAGATCGGCAGGAGGTGCTTTAAGAACGCTCGAGCTTGTCCCGGCCGCTTCAGGATTAAGCGGCTGCGGAAATCACCTTCGACGTCGAGCCCGTCGGTTTCGCCGAAACGCATGACGATGCCGGCGATTTCCGGAAAGTCGCCAAGGACTTGGTGAAGTGCGTTTCGCAGCCAAGCGACCGTTTTCTTCAAACTTGTGCCGAGTAATTCCCGCAGGGTGTCGTTGTAGAACATCACATCCATTGTGATGTAGACGCGCAGGCCTTCTTGCTTAGCGATGGCGAACAGTTCGCAGAACAGGTTGCGGTAGGCTTCGATCTTCGACTGCAACGCTGCGGGATACTCGGGGCAGGTCACCAGGTGAGCCACGTCGTCTAGCGTCACTCCGTTGTAGCCTAGCTGTTTGGCTTTTCTGACGAAGGTGCGAAAGTCGTCAGGGATGGACTTCAAGCAATCGGGCTTCAGTCCGGACTCTGTTTCAATCTCGCTGAAGGGGATCTTCGACCAATTGATCCGCTTCGGTTTGTGACGTCTGAAGAACGGCCCAATCCCGTCGATCAGCAGCAGGTTGGGGCGACTAGGTGTGATCGACATAACCGTGTTAAGCGAGCGCGTATATTGTGACCGTTGTAAAACTGTTGGACTTAGTCGCTGAGGCATACCAAGTGTGCACAGATTGATATCTGTAACTGTGGAAGTCCCCACCACCGACGAGTCGAACCCGAGGCAATACCCAACTGACCTTACTATTGTACCCGCCCATTTTCCAAACAGATGAATTTCTCATGAAGCGTTCGCTGGCAAGCTACTTCACAGCTATTCAAAGCGATCGAGAGAGGGGAAATCGATAGGGATGTCGGTTTTCTCGTTAAGAAGAAGATCGACCATTGCTTCGCCGAGAACACCGGCGAACTTGAAGCCATGGCCAGACAGTCCAGCCGCTAGGGCAATATGTGGATGGTGTGGCAGTTGATCAACGATGAAATGCTCGTCGGGCGTCATCGTGTACATGCAGACGGTATGTTTGAGGTAAGGTCGTGAGAGTTTGGGGACGTACTCCGCGATGAACGCCTCCACGCGTTCCAGGTCTCCATAATCGAGATCACGATCGACATGCAATGGGTCGTCGACCGTGCGACCGCCAGAATGCTCGGCGATCTTCACGCCGGTTTCATCTACTTGTGGAATGCCATAAAAGACGCCCTCGGGCGTTTCGTACAAGAAGGCAGGGCAGGGGGCTTCGATGCGATATGAACTGTCTTGGGCAGCAAACCAGAAAGAAGGCTTGCGGCGAACCGTGAGTGGGAGCTTCAACTCACTGAGCAACTCACGCGCCCACGCGCCGGCGGTGACAATGGCCATGTCCGAAGTGTATCGCTCTCGATTGGTCACCACTTCTACGCCTTCACCTTTGGCGGAAACGCTAAGAATGGTTTCGTCCGCATGCAACTCGGCGCCCAGCTTTTGGGCCTCGGCGATGTGGGTTTGCACACAGCGTTCAACCCTCAGGATCCCAGCATGCAGTTCATAGAGGCCGAGCATGCCCGGTGGAACACGCAAACCTGGGAACTGCGATTCAATCTTACGAGCAGAAAGCTCTTCGATTTCCAGGCCATGCTCGTTCGCACTAGTACGAACACCCGCAAGCACATGCCCTTCGGACGGGCCGACTTGCAGAAGGCCGATGTCTTGAAGAAGTTGCTCTCCGCTCTGCTTTTCCAGTTCTCTCCACCGATCGAAGGCCCGATGGGCTAGCGGGACATAGTGGGGATGCTCGAAATAGGCCCTGCGGATGATTCGTGTCTGGCCGTGCGAACTGCCACGATCGTGGCCGGGAGGGAAGCGATCGAGGCCCAGAACATTCACCCCACGGCGAGCCAACTCGTAGAACGCCGCACTACCGACACCCCCCACGCCCAGAACGATGGCCTGCCAGTGACTCATGCGTGGTTTCCTCGGACAGCAACGTTGCCGGGGCAACGAGACCGTGACCGGAGATGTTCGCTGCCGTTAACGCCCGGCAATCGATAGATCGATGGTGGATTGACCGACTTTGTGGCCCAGTGTGTCTTCGATCGTCAGCCGCAACTTGTAGTCACCATCGTAAATCCGCTGAGGCATGTAGAGGAAGTAGCGGATGAAGAAATCACGACGGGCGTTCTGGCAGTACTCCTCGGTCAGGTCAAACTGGTGTTCTTCGACAATCTGACCGCGGCTGTCGATCAGCTCGTAGCTGCTTCGAAGGGCCGTATGATGGCCCTTGGGTGTCGCTTCACTGTAGAAGTTGTCCACCTCGGCATACAGCAACAATTGCTGTCCCGGCTGAAACTTGTACTCTTCAAACTTCTTGTACACGCCGAAGCTGACGACCTCGGTGCAGAATGCCAGCCCGGTGACTTTCAATTCGCTCAGTTCGCTCAGCCGATCGGTAGCTTCGGCCAAAAACTCATTCGCAGCGGCGGCGCGGCGTTTTGGGTCGGGCTCGCGTCCGCTGTCGAGGTAGGTGGCCAAGGCGTAGAGCTGCTGAGACCAGTAATCTTGTTGCGAGGCATCCAGCCCCTCGATGGGTCGCAGCGCGTCTTCATTGCGATGGGCCAACATGTACAGCATCCGTAGACGGATCTCCCGCTGGGTGGCGGTTTCCGTATCGCCAGAGGCCTGGGCCTCAGCCGCCTCACGCTCCAACGCGGCGATCGTTTCGTTTAAAGTTGTTGCGGAGTTGCCATTTGTTTTTGGAAGGACCTGGGGAGCAATCGACGCGGGACCTTGTGATGCCTGAGCTTGGCTCACCGATGCCGGAATCACGGGGGCGGGTTCGTAGTCGACCTGCTGCAAGGTGTCTTGAGAAGCGATGGCCTGACTCTCGGGATACATCGCTCGGGCGTCATCAAAGAACGGATCGTTCCCAGTTGCGGCAACCACCGGGTTAGCAGCCACATCAGCTTGTTCCGGCGTTAGAGGAAGCCGCACCGGAACTTGGGTGCGAGGTTCCATGGCTTTAGCTGCAGGCGATTGCTGAGCGAGTTGGCTAGTCCGCATTGCATCCTGCTGGATTTCTTCGCGTGTTTTGTTCTCCCAGTTCCCCGGAGAACCAAGCCGAGGACGCGGCTCTTCGTTTTCGACCAACTCGAGCGGGTCCATGTCGTCTCCAACTTCTTCATCGTGCGAAGGCTTACGCTGCTCGCGGAACGCCAGGGTGGTGCGAAGCGTTTGCAGCATCATGGGCCAATAGGCCGGGTCGGTGTTCTTCAGGTCTTCCTTGAACTGGTCGCTTTCTTCTTTATCTAGCCCTAGCGATTCCAGCTCGTCGAGAATTCCGACCAACATCGCCGGATCGACGTTCTCGCTAGATTCGGGACTACTCGCTTCCTTTGGTGTGAGGTTGCTACCCTTGCGGGCCACGACTTGCTGGCTTTCTACTTCGGGTGGAAGTTCGGCGGCGGGGGCGATCGAGGGCCCAACTTCGGAATGCGAGCGCGGAGACATGCCCCCCCAACTCGACAGCGGCGTATGTGCCTGACAGCCTGCAGCGGCCAGGAGCAACACAACCGAAATAAGGCGTAGGCAATATGGGTTCATACGTCCCTCGACGGCGAACTATCCTTGTTCGCGATTGAATTCATCCCTGATTGCGCGAAAGCGCTGCGAGCGATCGCTCGAAGTCTTCAAGCTTGTGCAACAGACCACATACCTAACTGGAACACGTTTCGCCGAAGCGAAT